GACTGTTGAGGGTTCAGCCTCCTGATGAGTCGGTGAAACTCCGACGAAACAGTTTGTCACAGCCCCTCGTTTGTTGTCCTCTTCTCTCTCTCTGCCTACGGTTTACCGGGCAGTTCTGTTTGTGACGATATATATATATATACAAGTAAAATTGTCGTAACAGACAGCTATGGCTGCCGTCTTCTCTGGCCACTTCTCCACAATGGTGCACTGTGCAGTTTTGAACCGCCACTGCGCCGAATGAATCTTGCCAATGATGAGTTCGGGAGTTTTGTCTCCCAGGGACATTTCCCCACGGCCCCAAAACCAACCCTAGACCGCGAACCCCATCCTGCCTCATTCTTTCCCCGCTGTCTGGATTCGCTTTGACAGGTCTTTTCACACTTTTCACTTGTCCTCTTGCTCCTGCTACTGCGCGATAGAAATCCTCGCTCGTACTTTCTGCGCTCTTCCAGGCATGGCGAGCCAAACAACATGTGCTGATACTGTCCCGCTCAGCCTTTCCTGCTGCGCCAGCGCTGCATCCTCAGATTGCGCTATCTCCTGCCCATTCTCTGGCACATACGTGGTGTTCTTTTTGCATGCATGCTTCATCTACCACCTGCTTCCCTGTTTGTTCTCGTTGTTGCTGAGCGATCGGCCCCTTTACGGGTTGTTCACACGTTTTCCCTCTGCTTCAGTCAGTTCCTCCTCCCCCCGGCCCTCTTCACCTCTCCTCTCCCTCCTCCGCTTCTTTCTTCTGACCCCCCCCCCCTCCGCCCACTCTCTCTCTCCCCTCCCTCCTCCTCCTTAACTTTTTCTTACCCTTACCCCTTGCGGTGCGATCTGGATGTTTCTTCATACGGCTTGGGGTATCGGAGCTTCTTTCTCCTGCTGGAAAGCACGCTTGGATCATTGGACGTTTTTTGTCTACAGTCACCCCATGTTGGGGTCATGGATCTTTCACTATTGGGTCACCTACGAAGAGACTGACGTATGGGGGTTGGTTCTCCGATTAGCTAGGAACACGGCATTCATCATGATGAAAGGAACTGCTATAAGAAGGAGGTAAGACATTCTTTCTGAAGCGCAACCAAGTCCCCTGATGGTGGCTGATCGCGGAGTCAGCCAAAACACAGTGTCTGATTTCATAATGGCTCCCGATTTTGCAGTGTACATGTCTTGCTTCTTCCTTTGTCACTCATGTCTTGCCTCCATTCTTCTTTCTCTCCACTCCTTTTTCTCCCCTCTTCATACTCTTTGTCTTCTACCTTTCCTTCTCTGCAACACATGTCGATTCATTCAATGCTGTACTCACCAGCTTCAATGAGTTGTTGGCTATCTAGATTGGATATGATACTGGGTGCTGCAACAACTGTGCCCCTTCTTCCAATCATTCCTTTAATCCTTCTTCTTTTAGTTCCCCCTTTACTGTCCCTCTCACGTACAAGGCTCGCCACGTTGATGAAGTTGAGCGCGAGCTGCCCGCATCTCCGTGTGCCGTAACGGCCCACTTGTACGTTGTGATAAAGAGGCAGAGTAAAGGGAGAGGGAATAAACACGGAGAAAAGATGTAGACAAGACAAAGCAAAGGAAGACAACAAGAATTAAGGGAAAGTAAGGAGTGTGGAATGAAGATGAAAGCATACGAAAGGATAAGAAAAGGCTCAAGCATCAGTCTGTGGACTCTGTACTTGACAGCAGAGAGGACATATATTGGAATGATGTGGTGGATGAAGACAGGGAAGACCTAGGCGGTGGAGTTTTCTCAGATTTCGCCGTCGGGGGCATCTCATACTCACACCAGGACTTTTTCGAGTGCTCTCTGGACGTATTCGCGGTCAGATTCGTCCAGGAATTGCCGTAATTGCGGTAAAAAAAAAAAAAAAAAAAAAAAAAAGACAGGGAAGACCTAGCTGAGCATTCCCGGTACAATAATTGCCACGATGCCTGCCACTGAGCATGCCCATCAACACTCCCAACAAATGAAATGTTGACTGCAAATGGACATATAGTGCCCGGATGCGGAGGGTGCCTGTAGTCAGGAATGGAGGGACAGTCCTCTACACACATGGATACAGAAACCATGTCATTGTAGTGATTGTGGCAGTGACAATGGCAACTACAGCCAAGTGTAACAGTGTTTGTAATTGTGCAGAGAAGGAGGTTGCAGATTGTTGGTACATTGCCCTGCCGCAGCACAGGGATAGTTGAATGATCCTCGACATAAAAGAGAGTGGGGGCAATTTGGTGTGGCAAGAAAACAACATCATTATGTAAGAAATCAGTGACATCAGTCATGGTATGGACCATGGGGCTGTTGTTCCCCAGGCATGTACAATGGCCATGTAATGCCCAGGTCCGTGTACAATGCAGGCAGAGATGTGGGATGGAGGATTAAACCACTGGCCTGCTTGAGCGTTGTGTAGTTCAAATTGGTGGTCCCTCATTACTACAAGTAGGACCGCAATTGTAAAGCCTCTTTCCCTGCTATAATTGCAATCCCCTGCCTGTAGGCAGGGAAGATCAGCATCAAGCTGAAGGGCAATGGCAAGAAAGTCTGACGGTGTGTAAAGCAGGCGGTGGAGAATGTGAAGACAGATATCAGTTGCGGCCAGACCACAAAGACTACCAGGGATCTCAGGCTGGTGTGCCGGATGCTAATCAACCATTCACAGATCACTCAGATGGTGTTGCAAGCCCCAAATGTTCCGGGCTGTTTGCTGGTTAATCATTTGCAGATCACCCATGTGGTCTGCGCCTGGTGCGGCAAAAATTTGCCATCGATCCAAACGATGTTGGTCAGCTATTTGCAGATCCCCCATGTGGTCTACGCTTCGTGGGGTTGATTGCAATTGGGACAAATCGTGTTCTAATGCCTGGATGTCTGGGGCTACATCCTGAGTAGGGACTTGTCTGGGTTGGTATACGTATACAAATTTCCTTTTTTGATATTTTATACTTGTGAATCCATTTTGGTAAAGAAGCTATCATAGATTTGAAAAACAATTGATTGTGCACAAGCTGCTCTCCTTTTTTTATTTTGAGTTTGGGTGTTTTCCACTTCTATTCAGTATGTAATATGTATGATGAACTTCAATAAAATACACTTTGGAAGTTTGGATGCAAAAGCTTTTTAAAAAGCCAATCAAAATTGGTGAAAATAAGAAAAACTATTTGGAAACACAACATATTGGAAAAAGATTTTTGCATACTGTTTTGTTTCATTGTAGTGGTTTGAATAAAGTTCGTAACACCTGTTTGCATGTTATTAGGTTGGTCTAGTATTCAAAAGTACAAGAATTTCAAAGAGTACATGATAGCTTTTTTCAGTTTTGGAAGCTTTCATGATTGCTGTGTTTTGCATGCTCGATCTTCTACTTTTTTATGTGTTCTTTGAAAGTGTTTTAATCATGGTTGCCAACCGAACGTCCGGATCCCGATCCAGGCAGTCCGTTGTCTGGTGTCCGGTTTGGAGGGTCTGGTTGGACCCTCATTTCAAGAAATCCGGGAAAAAAAAAGGGGTCCCCAGGCCATTTTCCTGGGCCTGGGGTACCCCAGAAAATTGTTGCTGTAGTTTTTTGTCGACCGTCACCGCAACCGGACCGACCCTGACGGGCCCACTGTTGGAGAACTTCGGAGGGCAGTAGCAGCCACAGTATCCTGGTGCTGGTTTCAAGTCGGCAGGAGGACCCCATTTTCGAACGAAGTGCCTCGTGCAGCAGCGCTCCCTCTGGTGTAGCAGCGCTCTCCTCAAAGTTCCCGCCCGCTGCAGCCACGCCCTCGCCAGCTCGAGCTCCTCCATCGCCCAGGAGTCCAGGAGATTGCCGCCAACGAGGACGTTGCCGTCTTGCCGGTTCAAGATTCGAAGTTCCGCACTTTGAAGTTTGGAACTTCAAAGTTCTTGGGGGCTGGAGCGGGTGTGGAATTGATGCTTGGGGGCTGGAGCGGGTGTGGAACGGATGCTTGGGGGCTGGAGCGGGTGTGGAACTTTGCTCTGTGTGTGTGTGTGTTTGTGTCATGTATGCCGGTTCTTTTTTTTTTGTTCCGAACTTTGAAGTTGGTACGTTGATATTTCCAATTTTATTAGCATGTTGGACCAGTCCCACAAATCTGTGTGTGTCTGTGCTTGTAGGAACTGCAGCAGTGGAAACTTTAGTAATAGAACCTGTGTGTGTCTGTGCTCGTAGGAACTGCATGCTGTAGTAGGAACTGCATGCTGTAGTAGGAACTGCAGCAGTGGAAACTCTTGAAATAGAGC